ATAAGAAGGGAATAACCTGATCATCTTTTCCACAGTGGGACAGAACAAGATATGAGCTTGAAGTGCAGCACAGAAAGTTGCACTAGATATTAGAGGGGGCGGCGGGCGAAGAGACAACCGCTAAACATAAGGTTAGTGAAGCTCTGGAGCAAAGTCTCCATCACTGGAGGTCTTTTAGAGCCAGCTAAGACTGATGCTGGCTCAGGCAAGGGGTTGGTGTAAGCAATCACTTGAATTCCTTTCAGCCTAGTAATGTGAACAAGATTTTGCAGGCTCCATTTTATGTAAAGAAACTTTGGTCCACTGATGGTAGAGTCACCAATAAGCAAATCTGAGACAGCACTAGGACATACTGGACAAATCAGTTAGCACTAGAGGTATTTCTTGACAGTAAACTTGGTTCGTAGTCAACCACGGGATACACCTCATTCTCCCAGCCATGTACAATTTCTTTTAGCAACATGGCAAAACAGAAGGGACTCTGTTACGCTTCACTGCTACCGGTTTTAAAAAGAACAGTCATACAAACAGGATATCGAGCAGCTCTGTCCAGCTGTTTGCAGTCACATATGTGTTCTGGCAACAAGGCAGGTATCGTTGCCTACAATAAAGGTAGCACAACCACCAGTACTTAAATAACTGCAGAGCAACTGTGTCCTTCAACTGAATCCTGGAGCAAAATCCTCACCAAAACAGATAACTGCAGTGCTGGAGACTACCTGGTGTGTTACCACTAAAACAAAAGAGCACTGTTCAGCATGCACATTAAAAGCTCCCACAACAGATTTTTATTAAATCCACGTTGCTTTGCATGGGAACCTGGCTTGCCAAGATTTCCAGAAATTATCATCTTGACCACCTCCCTTTTGGGGGACTGACTCAAGAGGCCTTCAAGAGGGGCAAGAGGGGGGAGGGACAGGCAATGGGCATGAGCATGTATTTTCAGAAAAACAAAACACATCTCTACAAGTTCAAATCACACCAGCTAAAATGAGTGCTCTCAAAGTCACGTTACCCTGAAAAATCCTCTGACCGTAGAGAAGAAACATCCGCAAACTAGACGTGTCCCTTAAGATACGAGGTGTTGACGTGACACCATGGATGGGATTTCACCCAAAGTCAGCTGCAGAAATCAAGCATTTCAGGAATCCTACCACACTCAATGGTGACAAAGGAAGCAGAAGACATCTCTTAACACAGGCACCTACTTTAAGATAAGACGAACTGTCTTCTGAAAGCATGCTCCTCTCTCTCTCTGCTAGAGCATCAATGACTAACTCAAATTAGATGTCTCTTAGGACAAGGTGGTATTTGGAAGGATTTTCACCATCAGAAATGGCTTACTGACAAATTACCCATGCAGTGATTTAAGCTCTGGGAACTTTCTAGGCACACAACAGCCACAGCTCTTCCCTATACATCCTCTCTGCCACTCATTTCAAAACACAAAAATTGTTCCACCAAATGATAATTTGAAAAAAGCTGCAGTCCTTATTCTGCTTGCTGACCACAAGCATACCTCAAGATCATCCATCATCTGTCTTTTCAAGAGCCGCTCCGGTCAAAACCACAACAAAGAGAAATGTAACAAGGCACCTGAAGTTTTGATAGCAAAGTTGAGTCATGGCAGCTCGCAGATGGAGCACTAAAGCGAGTGTTGCAATCTAGTAGGTTACATCATAGCCTTGACTTTTCGTTAGAACAGAAGATAAGCACAGGAGACAAAACAAGATGCAACATTTCCATCAACAACTGCATGGGATGTAGGAAGGACAGTTTAGAGCCACTATTTCCTTCCCTGCATCGGCCCCATCTTCATGATCACATCTCAGTCTCTCAGACTGTCCCTGGGTGTCACCTACCTGCTTAATATTGTCAGTGACTTGTTCTTTCCTTAGCCTTGGCTCCTCTTGTTCTGTTTCAATGACCTTTCCTTCTCTGCTCATTCAGAGCAACAGGAGCTGCTGTCTCAGTGACCCATAAAGCCTGGTTGATCTGGGACCTCCAGACCTACACCATCCGAAAGGCACGGGCCAGGATGCAACACCATGCTTATATGGCTCAGTGTTCCTCCCACTCATTTAACTTCAGCAAAGACTGCTAGATGCTTGGTATTTTGCGTTGTTTTAAAAGCCAAGTTTGGATGTTTGGTTTTTTATTTATCCCCAAGTCTCAGTCAGAGAGGAACCTTCCTTCTCTAGCTGTGAGAGGGCACCTCATTGCACTAGCATCTTTAATACATTTCTATTTTCTTCCTCTCTACAAGGAGGGAAGGGTCACAGCTTAGCCAAGATCTGAAACACCTTTGGCTTAATCTCCCTTATTTCTTGGTCTTTTACCTTTGCCTCTACAGCAGAGGAAGACAATCCATCCTTACAAAGGGACCACTCGGTTACTTGTGGCTCCTTTCAGCAGACCACAGCAGGGCAGGTGTGTCTGCACCTCCCACTTCGTTCGATATACAATCCAAGAGAATACATAAGCCCAGTCTTCATCCCAGAGAGATGACCTAGAGGACACCACTCTCCCTTGTCAAATGACTAACAAGATCCCTGAAGATGATTCCAAAGCTTTTGGGGGTTTTGAGTTTTTGGGGTTTGTTTTGGGTTGGTTATTTTGGAGTTCTTTTTAAGTTGTAGTACTTTGAGACAAAACCACTGGGGCTGGGATTCCTGATATACAGGAGTCTCTGTTGCTGGAGGGGACAGCCCAACCTATCAAGTGACATACAGATGGGGACTCAGCTATGGTCATGGAATTATCTCCTCTGGAGCCCCAGCATTTCCATGGAAAGAGGAAGACCCCAGTGAGCCAACCTGATACCCAGACTTGTCCCTGGCACAGCAAGGACCCATAGTCTTCAAGTAGCGGTAACAAACGTCTCCTTCACTGATGACACTTCACAACTGCCATGCACCTCTGTCTTTGCAGCCCTTTCCTGACATATCAGAAGTCTTCCATCTGCAATCATCTGCAGCGAGGACAGTAACATAAGGAAAAACTTGCAATTATTTTTAACATTGGAAATGATTAATCTGGAATCCCGGGTCTTCTGTTTCATCCTCATTTTGATGTAACTGAAAACTTCCATGGATGGAGTGCTGGGGAAAGAAGGCAAAGCAGCAGTCTGGTATCCTGACGGTGGATTAGCTTCATGCCTTCAGCCCTTGTGTCTTACGTAAGGTTACCTGTCCCTCCTTCTCCCCTTCATGAGGTGTTGAGGGTGAATTTAGAGCTTGATAACAGGACCTGGACATCGGCTGAGGAAGAATAAAGCTGTGTTCTGTTCAAGCTCCCTTCTTACCTAGACCTCACACACTAGTGCTGGGTCCCCAGGGTAAGTCACCCTAAAACCAAGCCAATTTGGGGTGTAGAAGAGGCGACAAAACACGCGAGGAGTGTGTGTGTCTACCTGTGAAAGAAAGCTTTTTTACTGGACTCCACAGACGAAAGCTTAGCGAATAACCCTTCTAAGCTTCCTTGATCGGCTGGCTTTGCTGTGGAGTGAAGGGCACACCTGATAAGATTAGCAGTCTATCATGGTCAATCATGTATATAGGAAACATAGTTAAAAATAGAAAAAGTACAGCAACCCTTAATGTCTGCTCAAGTTGGGATTCCCTTTCCTCACGATCTGTTTTCTGTTAATAAAACAGATGGAGCAGACAGGCGTTATCAGTGCAAAGTTTCTCAGAAAGTAGAGATAGGAAACACCTAAGAATAAATTAGAGTCTCCTCCTCTTACGAGAAATCAGATATTAAGCCGATGATTGGACAAGCGGGCAATACAGCACCTTAGAGTTTCTGGACAATCATCTAACAGGCATCCCTATTACATTTTTGCCATAAACACTTTACTGACTTGCCTGCTATGCTATAAACATCCACAGGGGTTCTTCCAGAGGAAGAACTGCGTATCAAGACTGATTCTTATCCTACCTTCAAAAACAGCCTTTAGGGTCCTGTATTTCCTATATGGTTTTATTAAATGTTACCGTGAGAATGAAGGCAGGGTACCATTTAAAATTGATAAAATGTTATATTACTTGAATAACAAAAGCCTGCTTTAGAATAAAGTCATTTAAATTTAATTATTTTTTTTTAAGCACTGAAATATCTTATATTCTAATGAAGTAGATAATTATTTGGCAGAGTTTCTGCAGGAACAATACTCTGGGCATCCTTGCAAATCATAAATAGCTTGCAAGAGGAATGCAGTTGCATATGAGAAGTCAGGTGTGTCCAGTCCAAAAGCTGATGGACTTCAGCTGGCAGAAGCGTCCGTGGTCACACACACACACAAGCTCTTGTATCTACCCTCCTGTGCTGTGTGACACACAGGACAGCCTGCTTCTTTACTTAGGTTTCTGCTACGACGTTCAGCCTATAGTTTCTTAAAGCTGGTGGGTGCTGAAAGTATATTTGTGGGGTTTTCTCTCCTTTACTGCTTTAACTCTGTCATGTCCATGACCTTTAAAAAGCCAAATTTTACAAATCCAAAAATCACAACATCCCCACAACCCCATCCATCACCACAGTACCGCTGCTTGAGTGTTATTAAAATACAGGCTCTGAGCCCAGCTCTGTCCTGCTCCTCACTAATTCTTTACTTAAGTAACAATTATGAGAGAGCTCGGCTTGCGTAAGGCTAACAGGATTGGGGCGTGAGATATTAGCATACCCCAGAGGCATGCGCACCTCTACCCCGCAGCCTGAACAGTGTCCAGGCACAGAGCAGCGGCTGAGACAGCCATTACAAGATGCCTGGATGTAAATATATATCGACGTCTGATACCTTCCCCTTGAAAGTGTGAAAGGAGGCGTATGAGATGGGAAAAGAAGGGGGGGGAATAAAAAAAAAAAAAAAAAAAAAAGAAAAAGGCAGATAGATATAGCCCCTTTAATCCCAAGAAACACCACATAGTCAGGAACCTAAAGGAACAAGTGGCAATACCAGCTAAATCCCATTATTCCAACTACCACCACAAAAATCCACTCACCTGATGAACTCTCTGCTAGGCTCCACTTGCAACCTGAATAGTCTGCTGCTAGGAAGCCTGACAATAAAATGCAAGTGTAAAAGGCTGAACAAAGGCCAAATACTACAGTTGGGGGGGGGGGGGGGGAGGGCAATAAGTGGAATAATTAATGTATTCATACGAAATACATCCTTTTGCTTACTAGGTGAATTAAAAAATTAATGTCCACATATGAGTAATACCCCAATATTAGGCACAGTAACTTAAATATTCCTACCTCTACACAGAACATTACGTGCATAAGTGGGAGGTAGAGTAAGTGGGAGGCAAGTATAAGATAATTACAGATATTGGTACTGTATTTTGCAAATATTTAGATGAATGGCTTAATTGGACCACAGAGGCCCGATGAGAAACGGCTGCACAGAAGTGCGAGTAGTAAAATCCATCTTGGAGAAGCTAAGGCCACCTCCAATAAAGCTCTCCACTATTCCCCGAGTAATGAGGGATGAGAAATGAATGAGAAGCAGAAATGGCTGCCAAAGTGGCATTTCTATGTATCCCAAGAGCACGAGGCTAGAAAGTTCATGAAATCCAGGCACTTGGCTTCATTGGTCTCTGAAAGGAGCTCAATGTATTTTTAAGGCTACAACAGACTCAGACCTCAATGAGTTTCACAAGTTCATACGCTGCGCGATAGATCACATGTGAACACGAACATTAGCGTATACTACAGAGCATTTAGCACACGGAGCTATAAAGCAGCTATTGTTCTGGCAGTAAGGTAATCCGTAACCAGATAGTCTCTGGCTTCATCTAAAAAACATTTTCCCAGCATTTCCCTGACTTGTTCAGCGGGAGCCTCTCTGCTACAACAGAGTGCACATTCATGGCCAACGAACGGGTCCAAAGTGATGGGTTCTTTCCCCCAGCGCCCCACTCCCGGCCCCCGCACCTCTTCACTGGGGGAAATCGTGGTCTTAACCCAAGAGAGGTGACATGAACCCAGCCAAGAAAAGTGCGCAGTTTTTGGAGGAGGACAACGCCTCGGGAAGGCGTTCAAAGTTTTACCTTGCAGAAACGGAAAGCTGCAACTCTGGTGTCTCTGCTGGAGCCTTACCTTATACTAGTTCCCGCACTAGCTACAAGGAGGTAAGCACTCTTCTTTTTTCCTTGGGGGGAAAAAAGGGCTAGATGCACAACTTAAGGGTCCTTTTTTTCTCTTCTTCAAAGCATACCCTTCAAATCTAGCTATAAAAGCATCCCTGCCACAAACCAGCACACACCCTTGTTGCAACGGTGTTAAGTGTCACAGTGCTTTGGTGTCTGCAGCCTGTCTTCTTTATAGGACAAGGGACCCATTTGGCACAGATCCCCCCCTCGTCCCCCCGTGTAGGACCTGGCCCATCCTCAGCAAAGTAAGCAATAAATCACGGCGAATACACGACTCAGACGTGGAACGTATCGTGTAAAGAGCAAGTTTTTACAGTCCACATTCCTCCTTTTTTCGCACACCACCGTCTTCCACTGCCCGGGCTGCGCGGCAGGTGGGATGGGTTCCTACCTCTCGCTCCCGAGAGTACTTATTCTTGGTATGCTACTGCCTCTGGCAGATTCCTCCCTTTTAAACTCTGCACATCTGTTGATAAAAAAAAAAAAAGCTTGGACTCTGGCCTGGTGGCTGAAGGCACAGAACATTTGTGCATCCGGGCAGAGCCCGAGCCATGCAGGCTGGGTGGTAGGAAGCCTCTTTGCACGCCTAGAGAAGGCAACGATGGGTGCAGGGAGAGAAACGATCATTCACTTCGCAGAAACCAGGGGACTTCCAGGTGTTTTCTCCCTGTGGGTCTCCCCCCGGGTGCGCAGGGGCCCGCAAAGGGGAGACTCGTGGCACACGGACCCGCACGGACAAAAACTGCAAGAAGAATCAAGCAGCCGCTTGTGTAACAGCCTGTCCTGTCGCTTCCCGGGGCAGGACAGAACAGGTCAGAAACCGCTTCCCAAGAGCAAAAGGAGCTGTGGTGGCTGGAGAATCCCTTCTGCTTTGCATCTGCTGTGGATGATTCAGACCGGAGTCCCGCTTGCTGGCTGCAGGAACAGAGCTGGCTGCTCTGTCTCAGACCGCAGGTCCGTCTGGACCAGAAGCGAGAAAGCATGTCTCTGACAGCAGCAAACAAGCAGAAAGCCTAAAACCCAGCCAAGTCCAAGTCTTGTTAATTTGCCGCAGGACTTCAAACCTCTTAACACTTAAATCCTATTTGGAAGTGCGACTCGGACCCTTTTTTGCAAAGAAAATGTACCAGGAACCTGCGAGAAGATGTGGCCGAAGACATCGCAAGGTATCTGTGGGTTAGAGCAACAGGAAACAACCATGAGCCAAATTCACTGGTGGTGTATAATGGAACACAAACACCCCCAGACGCTGATCCCTCTGACTTCAAAGGAGTTGAACATACTATATTTATGCCAGCAATAAAACTCAGCTTCCATTAGCTATACGTTCATCGTTTAAATGCAGTGGTCCTGTCGTGCACACACCAATTAGAGTCCCCTAATGCTTGAGAGTACAAAGCTTTTTTTTTTTTTTTCTTTTTGATGGCAAGGGGTGGAAGGGAAGAGATCAGCCGGCTCAGGGGAATAGCAGAGAGCCTTTCACTGCGAGGTCTCGCGTTCAAATCTGTCATAGGGCAGCGGTAACAGATGGCCACTTCTGAAGGCTGTTCTGTAGCTTACATGAAATGAGGGATTGTCTCAGGCCACCGGTAGACAACTTATTGAAGCCACAAACACACTGCTAGTGGTTTCTGGCAGAACCGGTAGAGAAATCGAGGGATTACACGGGTACGAAGCAACTGCTGCCTACCTGATCAAAGGCACCTCCTTCCCGGAGGGAACTGAGGCAAATTGCTGGCAGC